GTGGGTTGAAGCAGCAGCAATCATTTCATCTCCTGTGGGTTGTCAGCCACCTCACACGAACCAGCAGTCTGAATTGCACTTGTGTGTCTCTCACTGGGAGACCCCACAGCATTATCAGAATGTGCTGAATTGAAGCTGGAAGATTTTCCTTTCTGCTAAGCTTGGGACCTGTGATATCATACACCRAAGTGGAGGCTGTTGTAAAAATGAAACCAAGAACTACTTCTTTCCCTCCAAGGGCTTACATCAGGTCTCTGTGCAGCACAACATATCACTTTCATTGTCATTCTCACTCTGCTTTCTGCAACTCCTGCTGCCACATGGGATATCCTTATGTGTCCTCTATCACAACTGATCTTCCTAAATGCTCCTGCATTCAAAAAAAAAAACCTTAAGAGCCATGAAGGTGGGGGGTATGCAGCACCAATCAATATAAAATAAGTATTTTTAAATTAACTCACATCTGGATGGGTCTTTGTCACCCCAAAACTGGGCTGCATTTAACCCTAGTGTATCTTAATACTGTAAAACCCTGCTTCAACTGGTAGAGGAAAAGTCCGATAGGTTCTGGTGAAGCAACACCTGGTGAAGATGCCAGACAGGCAGGAAAAAGTGTGTGCTGGCCTTGAAAAAAATCCACATGGGAATTTGCAATTTTAGCCATTGACAACACTCTGCACCTGTCTTTAAGAAAAAGGAGGGTGAAAGGAACTGTCGCTGCTAACTCATCTTTCCAAGACCTTGTTAGCACTGAGGAAAGTGTCTGCCTCAGGCCTGCATGAGAACAGGGAAACTTGATGAGCTCTTGTGGGWCTGCCCCATAACTTCCACAGACTCCTGGGGGTCACATTTATCCCTCCGAATCTCCCACATGCCAAGTGAGATTATTGCCACCTGTTCTGCAAAGGACCAGGGTCAACTAACCTGAAATGCTTCAAGAGSCAGAGGAAGAGATGGAAAGCACTACCGGTAACAACAAGAAGGATTAGCAACGACAGCTAAGGAGGTGACTTTATACATGGTCTAGAAACCACACAGTGCCCATATGGAAACTGTTTTTCARTGTGAAGTAGTTTTTAACTTTTGCTTTACGTGTCCTTTGTGCCTATATCTGTGGTAGAGTGCCCTGCACAAACAACATGGCCAGTGASGGATGGACACATCCTCAGGTCTGTCAGGAATGACTCTGATGCCTGAATGCACCTATCTCTCTACCCTTGGCCTTCTGACCGACTTCAGTGACTGTTCCAGAAGGGCAAGGGACTCCCCCAGGTGTTGTACCATCCATGGCAGGCCTATGAGGTGATGCCATGGTCATGGCAGCGTTTTCTCCTTCCTTGTGATATTTTCTCTGAGTTTTATTGTTCGACCTATAAGGACTTGGCAACAGATGMCACAGATCTGCTAAAAGCTGGTGAGACCCTCTGGTGTGACGTAGTGCTCAGAGAAGCTTGCAGGGCTGCATGGCGAGATGGCTGCCAAAAATARTCATGATTCGGCTCCCCTTCCCCCCAGAATGCCAAACAAATGCCTGCTTTTAACATCACATTCCTTTCACCTTTCCTTTTTTAAGYGTTGGCAGAGCCCAGCAGGCCAAGCAGGTGCGAGGCGGCCTGGGCCCAGTATGGCGGCAGCTGGGGCCACCTCTGAGCCTGCCAGGAGGAGCGGGGGTGGCGAGGGGCTCCTCCTTTTCTTTTCAGGGAAATTATTAATGACCCCGAGGCGAAAAAGTGATGCAATAGCGAAAACTTGCTGCGCGCCAGCTGCTGTTTGGAAACGTATTCGACTCGAAAGAGCAGCACGGACGGCATGATGGACTCCACTCCCCCAGTCCAACACAGGCGGCAGCACTGCTGCTCCTCAACACACTCCCAACAGCTCTTCCACGTTGTTCTCTTTGCTAGCAATATCCTTTCACTAATGACAGCTCTTGTTTTTRCTGGGAAAAAACCCTAAAACAAACAGAAAATGTGCCTGAAACCCCAACATGCTGAGTACTTGTCTTCAGAGGTAYCTTCAGAAGTTTAACCTGCCTTGAAGTTCTGCTGGTGAAGCAACTTTCAATGTGAAAATAGGAATAGCTAAAAATTCACACCCTATATYTCTTCTTGACGTTAGGATGTGGAAGTTAGCTCCCTCTGGAAGGGCACAGGAGCTGTCACCACAACAGGAACTTTATGCTGCTGATGAAAAGAGGTGGAAAGGAGCATCTGCACTACCCTCAAGTCCATGGTACCTGTCTTGTGCTGCTAAAATGTGGAGGATTATGTGTGTACATTGTGACATCTAAAAAATGCTGTGACAATGTCTCCTAGGCTTGGTCTCTCAAATTCAAAAAAYAGTTTGCTAACTTCAGATTTCTTTTTTTCTTGAATTTGTGGCTGATGGCTAGTGTGTGCCTGTGATCCTCACTTGCTGGCAGAGTTAGGACTGATGCTGGAGCCATTTCTAAGATTCAWGCTTGTCATGTTTTGATTTGCCAACACTTTGGAAAATCTTCAAATTTACATTTATTACTACTCCTTTTTCTAATGGCAATGGTCTGACATTTTCAAGTCTCCCTTGTAAGAATTGCATCAGTCAAGTGTCCTATATAAAATTTGTTACCACAGAGGAGGGATCTTGCTTTTTGTTTTGTTTCTTGTTCTGTTTTGGTTATGGGCTTCAAAATAACCTTCATATATGAAAACTTGCAAGTGGAACAAAGAAACAGAGAAAGAGCTGTATCCTGGGCTTTTTTTTTTTTTTTTTTTTTTTTTTTTCTCATTCCAGCGGTAGCTATGAGTCCCTGAGGAATTTATAATCTCTGCAGGAGTTTATCAACTTTGCACACAAATCCTGTTCCCAGCTTCCTTGCTAAAAGAACTTTTAGCAAGAAAAGCACAGAGTGCTTTKSTKTTTTTTTTTTGTTTTTGTTTTGTTTTGTTTATGAGTTTTTGTCTTACTGTTTTACATGCTAGGCAGAATCTTTTATTTTCTCCAAAATATATTTTAATTAGCCACCTGGTATCACTCAGTAAATCCTTTTTGAAGGTAGAAGAACAACTTTCGAGCAGAAAAAATAGAGATCTAAGCACAGGAACTAGAAGAAAATCCTTCCTCTAACCTCCCCCACCAATATGCAGAATCCCTGTTACAGATAATATGTGTATCATGGAAGAGTGCTGGGAGATCTCTACAAACACGCTTCCCACCATATGAGAGCCAGGGGAAAGAAATCTACAGAGGAGTTGTTTTATGCTTTTTATTCTTTGTTTCACAGATACTTTTAAAGTCTTCACAGATGCCATGTAATTAAGCTTCACTTTATCACGGTTTCAGAAGCAAAAATTTAAGTGCTAGAAGTAGCACTCTGCCCCYGATGCCTGCCTTCTTGCAGTCATGTTGAATCATATGACGAAGATGCATGTAGTTGTTCCAGTTTTTGCTTGTAAGCTTGATCTTTTCCTCCATCATCTCGTGGTGATCTAAATGCATATACYAGGATGCAGCTCTGAAGCTATTTCCCTCCCTCGTTCCCTCATGGTAGATGTAAGTCTGCTCTTATGATAGGCATCAAGGCACAGTGACCCTGTCCTCTGTTACTTGTGGTAGCCAGGAAAAGAAAAGGTGTAAGATGGTTTGCATCAGGAGGAGTGTTGCCAGCAGGTCAAGGGAGGTGATTCTGCCCCTCTACTCAGCTCTGGTRAGGCCGCACCTGGAGTACTGTGTGCAGTTCTGGGCTCCCCAGTATAAGAGGGACGTGGAGCTTCTGGAGAGGGTCCAGAGAAGGGCAACCAGGATGATTAAGGGAATGGAACATCKCTCGTATGAAGAGAGGCKGAGTGAGCTGGGCCTGTTTTCTCTGGAGAAGAGACGGCTCAGAGGGGATATGATTAATATGTATAAGTTCAGGAAGGGAGAATGCAGGGAGGAAGGGGACAAGCTGTTCTCACTGGTGGCCAGTGAGGCGGACGAGGGGTAATGGCCACAAGCTGAAGCATAAGAAGTTCCGTCTCCAGGTGAGGAGCAACTTTTTTACTGTTAGGGTGACAGAGCAGGCTGTCACCTGTGGAACAGGCTGCCCAGGGAGGCTGTGCCACCTAGAGTGGAACAGGCTGCCCAGGGAGGTTGTGGAGTCTCCTACTCTGGAGGTCTTCAAAACCCGCCTGGATGCCGCCCTGTGCCACATGCTCTAGGTGTGCCTGCTGGAGCAGGAAGGTTGGACTAGATGATCTGTAGAGGTCCCTTCCAACCTTAAATATTCTGTGAATCTGTGAATCTATGGTCAGACTCTGTCAGTGAAAAGTGGGTCGCTAGCACATGTCCAGAGCCTGGGCATGAGGCTGGACTTTCATTCAGTTTCACTATTCAGTTTCACTGTGGTAGTAGGAAACTTTCATCCCATTTTGGATTTTTTTTTCTCAACTGTTCCTAATGGGTCTTTAAGTGGTTGCTTGTGTTCACTGGCACCATCAAGGCAAGTGGTGGCAGGAATGATCTTTGGAAACTAGGCACAGCAGCTACGTGGGGATCTCTTTGGTGACTTTGCTGCAAGTGGAGCATGAAATGCAGGTGTAGGGGAAAGCCATGAGTAAACATCACCTGTTCACCACTGGGTAGATCAAAATCCTTGGATCCCTACGCTGGTGATGGTGTGGATAGAGAAGATGACTTTCTCCATGTTAAGTCAGTGRGAGAAGTATGGGCTGTTGGTCAGAGAGGCTAAAGGGTTGGTGCTCAGAGTCAGGATGAACAGCAGAAGGGAAGCACCAAATTTTGAGGTATGCTAGTCTTACATCTGAAGTTCTCACCTCCTGTTCAGKTTTCCTCCTCTTATTGTGCTTTATGAGTTAAATATCAGTATTATAAATGGGTGGGTCACACAAGAAATAGCTTTATATTAGGACTCTTCCATGCATCCAGGCTTGAATTCTGCCTCACATCTGGAGGAAAATTGTTATAGACATATCAACTTTTCACCCACAAGGTGCATGTTATTGAGTCTGCAGCTGCTCTGAACTCAAACCTGTAGATGTGGCACTACCTTGTRTTTAGGACCTGCTGAAGCCAGTGACACAGGAACATAGGATTTATTGAAGGAGATCTTAGGTAGTGTCCACATTGCCTGACCAGCATGCGGAGTGTGTGTCCGTGCTGCTATGGGCTGAGCTCTCATGCAGGTCTGTGGGTCCTTCCAGGTGTGCCCACAGCCTCGCACAGCAGGACTTGCCRGCTTGTGCACTTCACCTGACTCACAGGCATCTTGCTGACTATGGAGCCGTCTGGCACACGGCATTTCTGCAGTCCTGTCTGCTCAGCACTTCAGGCTATGCCAGTACTAATGGAAAACTTCTGAGTTCCCTGTTCCAGGTGCGGCATGTTTGCCACAGCAAACATACCTCAGCAAACATTCATACCTGGAGAACTTGTCCCTTTGGATTCTCTGTCCTAGAAGGATCTTCCAGAGGATAGATGGCAGGACAACTATGGTTAAACATAAATGGCTGAGGAGGAGGCCCTCTGGTCAGTCCTGGTGAATTGCRTGGGATATGCTCTGCCTGTTAGTGAAGCCATTGTAGAAGTGAGGGGGAAGCAGAAGTATCAAACAAGGGATGGAGACAGGGAGAAGCGCTGATCAGATGCTGCTGCATGAGACAACCTGCTAATGGTGTATCTCTGCTGTGCCTGTTTCCAGTTTCAACAGAGTGATAAGAGAATCAAGTAACTCTTGTTCATTCAGGTCCCTCCCTGGAAATTCGAACAGGCATTTGAGAATATGATTTTCTTCTGGCTGCTTTTATTTTTCCTCTGGCTGCAACTGAATCATTTCATGTGATATTATCCATAACAAAAGCCAGGAGTCGTGTCAAGCTGGTCAGGTCTGTATAGTCACAGGAGAGTCCCTTGGGTGTCTGTAGGCCCTGGGTGAAACACAGGCCAGTGCAGCATCTACATGAGTGACCGGGGGCTCCAGATCTGGATGCAAGCTCAGGTTGAGCCTATGGATGTACTGGCATAATGTATGCCATGTAGGAGCTACTGTGACAGTGAAGGTGCAACTTGTGTCATACAAGATAGATCTTGTGCTCTTCTCATTGCTGTGTACCACTGCTGTGTCAAGAGACATGAGCAGGAAAAAATGTTGTTGGGAAGGAGCTCAGCAGTTGAGTCCTTATGTTGATTCAAACCTCTATATCATACATAACGATGCAGAAGAAGCCTCATTAGAGAGACAGGTGGTAACAAGTGAGCTTGTAAGATGGCCATGAAGCAGTTCTTACTGAAGGTTTGGAAGTGACGCTGTGGGTTTTGCTGCTCACCCAGCTACTTGCTGTGGGTGCTGAAGGCACATTCCCAGCAGTGGTCCACAGAGCACATTCTACATTGCTGAGTGCAAAGATGAAGAAAAATGATTGCTTCTTAAAAGAAAACATCTTSCAACACCAGAAGCATTTTGTTTTATCACTATATACCACTCGAGTCTGCTACGATTAAATGTAGGGAAAAAACATGGTCATGAGAGAGCAGGAAAAATAAACTGGGCATTTTGCTCAAGTTCACCGAACAGAGAAGAGTGTAGAAGGTCACTGTCAACCAAGGAGACATCATGGAGATCCAAAAGGATRTATCTTGACTGTGATGGAAATGGCCACTGATTTCAGTGGGGTAAATATATTGTCTGAGAGAAAATTTAGAGAAAATAGTGGAGATGTACTTAYACATGAAGATTGCATGATTATGATCAGTTAAATTCTGTTTTAAGAGTATGAAAGTCATGCTACTGACTTCAATTACATTGTAAAGATAATTTATCAGTAATAACGAAAAACAGAATTTGGTCTTCAATTGCTTTACATAAAAATATTTTTTTGCATTAAATGATACAGTAGAAAAGTTTAACTTTTTTTTTTCTTTACAATCTACACCACCTGTGAGTATAAACACATTTACATTTATTAAATATATGTCTTGGCTTGTTATCAGACGTTTGCAACAGTCTACACCCTGTTGACACGATTTTTCAGACAGTAGGGTTCCTTGTGGTAATGGGCAAAAATGCAGAATGGAATGAAATACAAAGCAGAGGCCAAAAGTCTCAGAGAGAGCAGGCAGAAGTCATCATTTTTTCTAACAACCTCCGTGGCTGTCCGTGATGTGGCATTGCTGCCATAAAGGATAGAGTGAGCTATGCTCTCTGCCAGGAGTTTTCTGATATGCAGCAGAGGAAGAGCTACTCAGTTTTTGGCTCATTTGTAGAGCACAAATGGAAAGGTCAGTTCTGCAGCAGTAAAGGAGGCATTTGTTGTTGGAGTAAACACCTTCTTTCTCTGCTGAATGCTTTTCTTAAACAAAAAAAGAAAGGGCTCAGCCTTCCGACTGAGGAACAAAGTAATTCTGAAATGATACAAATACTGGCATGGATTTAACCTCTGAATTTGAGGATAATCTTACTTCTGCATGACTTTGGCCCAGGAGTTTTGTACCCAGGATAACGACGGAAATTCTTGTACCAGTAGCTTCAGAGTCTCTAATGAGGCTGATAAAACTTTATCTCTGGAAAATTCCAAGTATTTGTAACCCCTCCCATCTCTGATAAAAATATGACTCTTTTCATGAACAGAACAGTGGTTCTACAGGAAGAAAATATTTAAAAGTTTAGTTTTTCTTCAAAAGTAGCTTTAAGGGAGATGCTTGCCTAAAGCTTATGTGCCATAAACTCATTTTGTTTGGAGATTTTGCCAATGCCTATTTTCTGTCTTTGAACTTTATTTAGAAAAAAAAATCCTCCATTTAAAAATCATCCTCCTATCAAGCCAAACAAATCCTAACATTAGGAGATATTTTTTTTTCTTCCTGAAAGCTTGAGATCTCATGAGCTGTTCAGCCAGCTTCCTCATTTTCCTGTCAAGTAAGGCTGCTGTTTTGGGATACTTCTTCCTGGAGGGAGCTGTCTCTCCTTTCTGGATCTTCCTGTGCTGTGTACTAAATCCTTAATATTTATCTAGGATCTGCCTACGTTTCTAGAGTGAAATGTTCACACTTGCAGCTGATTACTGTCCAGTGGATTAGAACTTCAGTGGTGGCAATGCTAGGTTCCCTGGAGCCCTACTTGATCCAGGCTTTATTAAATGAGTTTAACTTTCATGAAAGAAAAAGGCTTCATGGATGAATCAGAGTCTGAATGCTCCTAAATTTTTTTTTAAAAGGCAATTAASGGAGAATGCTTCATGTTCTTTCCCTGGGGATCAGTTGAACTTGCATTTTGCCCATTTATAAGTAATGTTCCCCCACTGGCAGAGCTTATTAGGGAATTAAAGGTGAGAGGGGGATTGTAGACCCACTTACTGTTGCGCTCAGCCAGCGGGAGCAACRGGGAGTCTGTGAAGGGTGACTCTGGAGCTGTAAAGCTGTAATTAGCCCCATGTTACCCCATGCTGGCTGAGAGCACCTGTGAAGTTGGCCCTGAATGGTCTGTGTGCAGCTTCAGCAACTCTCCAGGCTGCCCTGCCAGAGGGGATGCGAAGACATTGACCCCGAGAGATGCCCATGGGCCAAACCTGCCAGAGGTGGGTAAGTCCAGATGCTTTTTTGCAGGGGACTCTAGAAAAACAAGCTCTTTCTGTGCTTTAGGTTTATGTTAAAGGATTGGGGATAATGGTGTTCATCCTCTGGTTCTTCTTGCCTGCTCAGCTCACAGGCTGGAGCATTTTACAGTAGAAATACACATTTCTGTTTCATTTTTTTTTTCCTGCTTGTCCTTTAACATGCACTTCAGGTTCTGCGATTAAGGAAAGTACACTATCAGTAAAATCTTTTTTTTTCCTGTAAAACAGACAAACATGTTCTAAAATGAATCCTGCTTCCTCTATGGAGATTGGAAGCTCTTTTTCTTACTTAATGGATTCCCTGTTGACATCATTATACGGATGTTAAAGTCAGGCACTTTCAGAGAGATTAGTGTGAGGAGAGGAAAGGAGAGAACATAAATCCAGGCAGAATAAAAGAAATTTCCACTCCTATGACAAGAAGAGAGAAAGGAGAGTGGCCATTTTTTGTACGAGAACAGGAGCTGCTGCCTTCTGGCATTTAGCAGTTGTCTGCGAAGGTCGATGTGCCATAAACTATAAGCCTAGAAACAGGAGGTCAGTGGCACCATTCATTACCAGAAATGTCTCAGATGATTTAAAAAAAATAAAACAAAAATCCTTGTTTGCGTCTGATACAAAATCTTTGTATCATCCTCAGTGCTTGCAAAGGAATTGCTTACGCATGCCCATGTGCCTACAGCAGCACATAGGGAAGAGCCCAAAGTGAGGCACTATGGAGGTAGCACAGTGTAATGCAGCTCAGTCTTCACTGAGAAGGAAATGGAGGTGGAAAATAAATGAACTGAGGTCAGTGCTGCATTAAGTGTCCGTCAGATTCCTGCAAGCCAACAAGTCCAAAAGGCCTTACTGTTCAACAGCGAATGAGACTTAATGTAAACACACTGGCTTTCATTTTTATAGTACAGATCACCATCAAGATGATTTCCAGAACATGTGCTCCTCTAGCCTCACTCACTTTTAAAAAGTGAGAATCTTAAACTGTAAGATTGCTACAGTTCTCCCTTTTTCAAATGGGAGCTGAGTCTTTTGTGCAAGTGGATTTATTCTCGTTCATGAAAGATTGTTGTCTTTTTTTGCACATAAAGAGCTCCATGAGGTCCAAGCTCATGCCTGCAAACTCAAATAAAAATTTACACATCTATGAGGAGTGTTATTATTAAGTGGTCCAAATCATTTATTTATGTTACCTATAATAAATAAAACAATAATAAATTTATTTACAAACATCATAAAACATAATAAGGATTAGTTTCCAAAGTAAGTAAACAGGATTAAACTCTGTTAYAATTCAAAGAGAATGACTCTTGCCAGCTGCTTTTGTATTGGACAGAATAGTTGGAACATAGACCTAGAACTTATTTTGGGGATGTTTTCTATAGGTTTTGTTTGATCATGTAGCAAATGGACCTATTAGGACAATCATTCTTTTCAATATATTTTMATTTGGTGGCAGTGGGGTGAGGTATTGTTTCACCAATTGATGGGGGGTGGCAGGAATAACCAGACACTAAGCGAAAGAATGGTTGTGTTTACTATTAATATCAAATAACACAGAAATGAAATGATACATTTAATGAAACAAAAAGTTTACTATGCACCGAGTTGTAACTATGGACAAAATAAGCAAGGTGATGTACTTAACCATTACTATACGAGAGAGAGACTAGTGATTAAGAAAAAGAATACATCACGAACTGCCTAAGTACTTTACCATCATCCAGATCCGCAGTCGCTGGGGAGCTCCTGTTGCAGCCAGGATTTGGAGTCTTCCCAGCATTTAGGAGGTCTTATGTGGTGCGTCCACCTGTAAGTGAGTTCTCTAAAGCTGCTGTAAGAGGGTCCAGCTTTTGTAAGACCAAATCAGCAAACTTGCATTTTCTTTGTTAGCAGTAGWATATCTGGTATGTTCTACTTTCCTTATCAGCTGGCACCAGGACCTGGACAGAGCCCCGGCTCTGGGTGGGAAAGTTCCCTTCAAGGTCAGAAACGCCTGCCTGAGAGTCTACAAAAGYGGCAATTTGATGAGCCTACGTGCAGGTTAGCAGAWGCAATTTACAGGCGAGTTCTTTGTGCTTCTGAACAAGCAGAGCCGTACTCAGCTGTAAGTCAACYGTGACTTGGGCCTGTGGTTCAGGCCCTAGCAKTTCAGGTATAAAAATAGATGCTGTTAGAAAAGTCTTTGGACTAGTAAATGTCCTTGTATTGTAGAAGCCATTTGGTGTATTAGAATGTGGGTCAACAAAACTACTTAGAGCTCAAAAATGTGCAGTGCAGGTGTCTGATTCAGGGGAAAAAAGGGTGAGAAGTCCCAGAAAAAGGTGCTGTAGAGAAAAGGAGAGAAACAAAGGTTTATTCTAGAGAGAAGTGTCCTCTGACAGTTTCCCTGTCTGTATGCGAACAACAGACACTAGCAAATGCCCCAAAATAAACCTAGTCACGGGTTAAGGTTTTTACCACCTAGAGTGGGAAATGGATGCCCTCCTTGGAAAAGCTGGGGAAAACTGGATGTATTACCAGTGTTCGACCTCCTCTTGGCAGTTCAAGTGAAGAAAAATACAAACTTATTCTAGACAAATTCTTATAAAAAAGTGGATGGTAGAAGTAAATTTATTGTTTTCTCTGAAGATCTTTATGCAGGGTATGGCTGCTTTGTCATGCTGAACTGGTTCTTGGTTGAATACATACAGGAATGCTGGGAGCACAAATTAGGATGGAGAAGTAAAAGACAGATATGTATCAAAAATAATTTATAATATCTCACAAATGGCAAAAAAATGTACACAAAATAGATTATTTGCAGATCTCACTGGGGAAGATTAGCAGAGAAGAAAGACTAAACACTGTACATTCTTTATATTTGAGAAACCTGAGAATGAGGAATAATGTAATGTTATTTCATCCACTGAAGATATATACAAGATTGTACCATGATGGCTGGACTTCTTACAGTTTGAGAGACTTCCTATCTGTCTAAATGTCTTGAAAGTTAAGGATTTCTGAACCTGTATTACTAACAAGAAACGTCTAATGATAATGCGTTCAGAAGCTCATGTTGCTTTGGTCTGAACTTTTGCATTTACCGTTTGGAAGCAAACACTTCTGTAAGGCTAGTCTGGATCTGGGGTGGGTTACCCTGAAAATTCTGGGATGCAGCATGTTCAGAGGGACACTGAGCATGAATGTGAACTGGCCATGGTGACATGGTCCACCCTTGCATTCATTTGGTACGGTTAACAGACAGTGTAGGCAAAGTCTGCAGTGCTCACCTGGAGAAATATATGCATACAAACTGCCCTGTGGCCCATGTTCCTGAAGCCACAAGACCTGACCAGGTCATCTGGACTCTCCCCTGCTCCCTCTTCACTTACGAAGTTTCCTGCTGCTTCGATGCAGCAAATGAAAGGCTCGTGCTCTCCACGTGTTTAGGGAAGATATTTTCCTCTTCTTTTCAGCTTCTAGGTGTAGAAAGTCAGGTGTGTCCTAGCAGACATTTTAGCTCTGCTGCAGATCTGCTTTCTTATGGCAAATTTTCACTTCTTTCTCTTGTCCTAAACTATTTCTCGTGCCTACAGACAAGCCATAATCATTTTCCCTACTTGCCTGGTCTAGCAAGGCTTTGAGTCTGGCTGTTTCGATGATTTCTGCCTTGACCTTGAGCTCAGCATTGCATAGCATGCAGTTGGACTGGGCCCTGCACTGTACAGGTGGGAAAAGGAAAATGAGGGCCAGATCTTTGGGATASATCCACTACGAGACCAGGGCAGAGTCCAGGACCTTGTGCTCCTGAACACTTCTGAGTTGAGTGATGACCAGCTGTGACTGCAAGAATGGCACATTCATGTTCAACATATGGCTCTTGGCAATGTCCAAGACCTTGGGGTTAGAGTATGGGAAGGAGCAAAGGCTCCTCTGATGTGTCCCTGAGGCTGCAAAGTGATATCAGAGTTGCTCTGTCTGTTTCTTCAGAGCATGAGGTTGTTTAAATCTGTTTGAACAGAGAAGAAGTGAGGGGAAGAAGGTAGGAGAAGTTCTCCAGGCCAACAGCCAAGTTTCAAACCAAAAGGGCAGAGATGATTGAATATAATTCTTTGGGGTTGACATGCTTCGGTCCAGGAGGAGGCACTTCAGARAATCCTCCTTTGATAATGAGGCTGCAAAGTTGCAGACTGTTGGGTAATCCAAGGCTTTTAACAGATTCAAGCATAACAAACACCTCTCCTGGAAAAAAATGGTCACAATCACTCCCCCAAAAGGATGTTCTTTCAACTGCAGACCAGAAATATTGCAAGTTACAACTCATTAAAAAGCTCTGGGCTCCTGTCCAAGGCGAGTGCCAGCTTCCTCCAAGCATTGAACAAATACAGCTGTGACCGTTTTTGCTGCCTTCCTGGGTAAAACTCCTGTGTGRCTCAATGGCTGTGGTAGCCAGCAAGCCACCGAGCCCTCACCCCATTTCCCAGCACTGCTTACCAGTCGGAGCCCAGCTGCATGGCCCAGAGCTGAGGCAGCAGAGCACAAGATCACCTAACCCTGCTCAGCTCTCCGAGCATCAGACAGCTTTGGGGGCATGGTCTCTATCCTGACTTGGTACAAGGAACCCTTATGCTGATATATAACTCTAAGTGGCCACGTTGCTTTCCCAAGGCTTCCTGATCACCAGTGGCTATAGCTACAAAGCTGCTGGGTTCCTTCAGCCCTGACTTCCAAGCTGTCTTGCTGCCTTCTGGAAATCTCCGCTTACTTCAGATATCTGAGGTATCTGTGACCTTGAAGGGGACAGTGAGACCACTCCTAAGTGATCCAGACAGGGCAGCTTGCTCAGAGCAGGCTATCTAAGCTAATAAATYGGAAACTCTGAARGAAGAGCTGTGCCTGAACTCTTGCYCTTYTGGGGAGTGTTATTCCCTTACAMCAGGTTGCAGTTCCACAGTGATCTGCAAGAAAGCTTCATGGTTCTCYGACTGCTCYGTGATTTGGATGCTGAAACCAACCTTTTGTTACAAAGGCAGGAGCTGCTGAGGAGGTTGCTCTCCCCTTTGGCAATGCTGAGCAGATATCTGGGAAGCCTGAAGTAATTTTGGAAATCAGATCCAGAGGTGTTTGGGGAAATGTTGCTTTTGCAGGTGTCAGATGCCTGCAGGATTGGGAGGGAGATGAGCATGGAGCCGGAGCCAGGTACCTGCAGAAACAGGCAGCACTGAAATAGCACTGTTGTGAGTTGGCTCTTGAACAAGAAATACACACCCTTCCTGGTGAGGAAGCCATGGAAGTGTTGCTGAGATCAAGTAACTTGGTGGCTTTCTTGGGGCACCTCCTCTTGCYGCGGGACAGGTCCCAGGCCAACCTCAGCTCAGCTCAATGTGTGTGTTTAACATCCAACACCTTCTCATCCAGACCTGGCTCCCTGGACACGAGTCCAACACGTCACTGCAGGACTGGGTTCACCTGCCCCTCTTCCCCAGCAGGTCTCTGCAAGGGGAAGGACAGAATGGCTTTTAATTAGTCCACTGCTTCTTCATTATTTAGAGGCTCTCCAGCTCCCTGGGAATTAAGCAGTGTGGGTAGCCCATCTGAGCGCCTTAGATTTTTGGTTTATGTGGAGGCGTTTCAAATAAAGCATTTCTATTCTCTTCGTAGATAAAGCAGAGACTTAAATCTCATTTTTAGAAAAGATCTTTGTGATTTACCAGAGCAGGATTGTTCCTCTTTTAATGCTAGCTGGCACTTGCATTGAGCTGATTAAGGACAAAATATTTTACAAATATTAATTCACCTTCACTAGAGTACTCCTGCTTTGGGAGAAGGTCCTCAGGAGACGGGGGATGACTGGAGAATGGGGCCTAGTGGGGACTGCTGAAGTGGTTGATGGGAGAGGAAGGGGAGAAACTTTATGCTAAGTGAATAATTCAAGGATTCCTGAACCACGGCATCRAGCACGAGGTAATACAAGTTTCACCTGCATCCATCAAATAATTGTTCCAGCAGCAGCACTTTAAATGTCAGGCTCTTGCCAATGTTTATCACCTACTGCCTAGTTCAGCTGGGGATTTGGCCCTGACGTATAACTTGCTCCTTAGTGATCCAGAAAGGAAATATAATGGCATATACACAGGCAAAAGTAAGAAGGAAATAATTTAAAATGGTAGTATATGTGTATTCCCTTAAAAAATAGATATAACAGAACTTTTGCTTAGTTATGCTGGAATTGCTACTGGAACTCAGCGTATGGAATTACTCTGCAGAAACCAAAAGTACATTGGTAATATGGCTTCTAAAAAAAGATATGAAAAATATATTTTAAAGGGCTGTAAAATACATTCCACAGATGCTCTTTTTTTTTATTTATTTCCTGGAGAACACTTTTATGCTGTAATAAATGAACTCTTACAAATGTTCCCTCCTGGGATACTGCTCGCCTCCGCACATCTGGTGAGAGACCGGGGAAGAATTTAGTGCAGGTGCCAGCTTAAAAAGTCACCTGCAGTCCTGGGATTACTTCTGACTTCCTGCTTTCTTTTTAAAGCGAAGCAGTAATGCAACTTGACGGCAGGGTATTACCTTGCTGCCCAGAAAGGCAGTTCTGAGAGACTCCGTGCCCAAGCACCATTTCCAAATAGTCCTGATATTGCTTTTTTTAGAACACAGCCCCGCAAGTTGCTGCTCAGGCAGGAGGCTTATTGAGAGGCATTTTGCCTGGACAACAGCAACATCAAAAGGCATCCAAGCATGGGTTAATCCCGGTTTTATGGATCTGCCTTTCTTTTCTCTTTAAGTTGTTCTGCCATTCTGGAACAAATCACCTATTTCTTGCTAATGTCTCTGAACGGCCAACAATTA